AGTTTTTATATTTATGGACAGTTCAGGTTTTTATGTGATCACTTATCTCTTTCTTTATGATTCTTGTTTGTGGTATAATGCTTAGAAAGGCAACGTTAGCAGGTAGCTTTTAATACTGTTATGGTTTTCGTTTTTAGTGAGGAAGATTGGCCCTGAGCTAACATCTGTGCCCATCTTCCTCTATTTTATATGTGGGACGCTTGCCATAGTATGGCTTGATAAGCAGTGCCTAGGTCCTCGCCTGGGATCCGAACTGGTGAACCCCCGGGCTGCTGAAGCAGAGCGCCAGAACTTAACCACTGTGCTACTGGGCCTGCCCCGTACAATATTGTTTTTTTTTTTATTTCAATTTTTTTTTATTGAGTTATTGATAGGTTACAATCTTGTGAAATTTCAATTGTACATTAATGTTTGTCAGTCATGTTGTAGGTGCACCGCTTCACCCTTTGTGCCCACCCCCCACCCCACCTTTCCCCTGGTATCCACTAAACTGTTCTTGGTCCATAATTTTAAATTCCTCACATGAGTGGAGTCATACACAGATTATCTTTCTCTTGCTGGCTTATTTCACCTAACATAATTCTCTCAAAGTCCATCCATGTTATTGCAAATGGAATGATTTTGTTCTGTTTTGCAGCTGAGTAGTATTCCATTGTAAATATGTACCACATCTTCTTTATCCATTCGTCTGTTGCTGGGCACTTAGGTTGCTTCCACGTCTTGGCTATTGTAAACAGTGCTGCAATAAACATTGGGGTGCACAGGACTTTTGGGATTGCTGACTTCAAGCTCTTTGGATAAATACCCAGTAGTGGGATGGCTGGATCGGATGGTAGTTCTATTTTTAGTTTTTTGAGGAATCTCCATACTGTTTTCCCTAGTGGCTGCACCAGTTTGCATTCCCACCAGCAGTGTATGAGGGTTCCTTTTTCTCCACAACCTCTCCAACATTTGTTGCTATTAGTTTTAGATATTTTTGTCATTCTAACGGGTGTAAGGTGATATCTTAGTGTAGTTTTGATTTGCATTTCCCTGATGATCAGCGATGATGAGCATCTTTTCATGTGCCTGTTGGCCATCAGTATATCTTCTTTGGAGAAATGTCTGTTCATGTCTCCAGCCCATTTTTTGATTGGGTTGTTTGATGTTTTGTGGTTGAGTTGCGAGAGTTCTTTATATATTAAGGATATTAAGCCTTTGTCAGATATATGACTTGCAAATATTTTTTCCCAGTTAGTGGTTTGTTTTTTTGTTTCAATCCTGTTTTCATTTGCCTTGAAGCTCTTTAATCTGATGAAGTCCCATTTGTTTATTCTTTCTATTGTTTCCCTTCTCTGAGAAGGCATGGTGTCCGAAAAGATCCTTTTAATACTGATGTCAAAGAGTGTATTGCCTACGTTTTCTTCCAGAAGCCTTATGGTTTCAGGTCTCACCTTTAGGTCTTTAATCCATTTTGAGTTTATTTTGGTGAATGGTGAAAAAGAATGGTCAATTTTCATTCTTTTACATGTGGCTTTCCAGTTTTCCCAGCACCATTTGTTGAAAAGACTTTCTTTTCTCCATTGTATGCCCTCAGCTCCTTTGTTAAAGATAAGCTGTCCATAGATGTGTGGTTTTATTTCTGGGCTTTCAATTCTGTTCCATTGATCTGTGCATCTGTTTTTGTACCAGTACCATGCTGTTTTGATTACTGTAGCTTTGTAGTATGTTTTGAAGTCAGGGATTGTGATGCCTCCCGTTTTGTTCTTTTTTCTCAGGATTGCTTTAGCAATTCGGGGTCTTTTGTTGCCCCATATGAATTTTAGGATTCTTTGTTCTAATTCTGTAAAGAATGTCATTGGGATTCTGATTGGGATGGCGTTGAATCTGTAGATTGCTTTAGGTAGAATGGACATTTTAACTATGTTTATTCTTCCAATCCATGTACATGGAATGTCTTTCCATCTCCTTATGTCGTCATCCAATTCTCTCAGAAAGGTCTTGTAATTTTCATAATATAGGTCCTTCACTTCCTTAGTTAAATTTACCCCAAGGTATTTTATTCTTTTTGTTGCGATTGTGAATGGTATTCCGTACAATATTGTTTTAATTGTATTTTTATTGCCTGTTTTCCTATCTGTCAGGAGGTAGTTTATCTGCTTCTAAAAATAAATTTATTTTTCCTTATTTTGCTTAATGTACCAATAGCTAAATGTAGTTTATAGTCCTTTAATAGCCTCATTATTTAATGGATGCAGAATATAGTATTAAACTGTAATAATGAACTAAAATGTCAGATTTTTAAAACTCTGATATGACAGTTGTTACCAAGGAACCTAGAGCTTCAGTTTCCTTTCCACTAATTTCTACTCCATAAGATGTGTGAATCTATAAGGGATTCATCTTTAAATATATTATTTCTATAAAAACGTTAATTGCCCATTTTACACTCTTTCTTACTTCCTGATATATTGTCTTCAAGAGGCAGTAAGGGTAAGTTATTAAGAACATGGATGTAAAGACTGCCTGGGGCCAGATTGTTCCTTTGAGGAAGATTGGCCCTGAGCTAACATCTGTTGCCAATCTTCCTCTTTTTGCTTGAGGAAGATTGTTGCTCAGCTAATGTATGTGGCAGTCTTCCTCTGTTTGGGTATGTGGGATGCCGCCACAGCATGGCATGATGAACAGTGTGTGGGTCCATGCCCAGAACCTGAACCTGTGAACCCTGGGCTGCCAATGTGGAGTGCGCAAACCCAACCACTACGCCACCTGGCCAGCTCCACTTTGCCACTTCTTAATTGTGGGATTTTGAGTAGGTTAACTTTATACAGTATGCCTCAGTTTCCTCATCTGTGGAAGGATAGAAGAGTTACTTATGAAAAGCGCTTAGAACAGTGCCTGGGCCATATAAGATCTCTAAGGATTAGAACCTATTTTTATTCCGGATTGGTATCCAAAAATGTATAAATTTGCATTTTGTGGATAAACCTGGTAAGGATGATTTGAAACAGTTAAATCGTTAGCTTCTACCCAGAATTTAAATGTGAACTCATTTTTAGCTAGAAAAATTGAGCTACTGAGTAAAAAAAAAAAGCATGCTTGTGCTCACGAATAGGGCATAATTACAATATATTTACAATTGTAACTAAGGTAGCAACTTTTGTAAATTTTAGTTTTAAACCCATTTGATAGGATATACCAATTTTCAGTCATTAATAAAGTTTAGTTTAATTGTCTTTGTTGAGTTCGGGCAAAAAAGTGGTATTACTTGTTTTCATTTCTTCTGTCTTAAAAAAAAATTCTAAACTTTAGGTTTGCTAATGATGATTTATTTTGGTAAGGAGCTAAGATTTTTATCCTATACTCTTTTTGGAGTAGTGTATATATTTATTTTGATAACTACATTTGTTTTTCTGCCCCAAATTAGAAATTTATCACATTATTAAGCCCGCAGATAGGAATTTGGTCATAAATTCTCAGCTTTATTTTTCCTGAGTTATTCTCTACTGGTTAATAGCCAAAGTAAATATGACAGTGATTAATTGTAATGAATTTTACTGTCTACATTCCCAGAACTTCTTATTTTTTTACAGCAGAAAACATAATCATCTTAAAAAATAGCAAATCTTTCCTAATGAAGGTTTATTGTTAATATGAATATCCAACCATTATGTGATGATAACATTTCTGCCTCCCCTTCCTATGTGGTGGTGCCTGTCCCTTGTCCCCTCCAGCAGTTGTTATGGATATTTCACAGCAGTCATTATTGATTTGCAGTAGTGTATTACCTCCTTTGACCTGCCCTCCATTGTGACTAGTGATTTATGCCCAAGAGTTTGAGGTATGTTTTCCCTATACATAGTTAACTGGTTCATTTGGCGAATGATCTCTGCATCTTGTCCTTTTTCTGAAACCCATGTTCTCATCAACTGAGGTGAGTGTTAAGTGCTATAATATAAAGTGAGTTAATATAACAAAATTCCTGCCTTCTAAGGCACTGTGTTTATAAAGCATATATAAATTCAAAAGCAATTGGTGAAGCTGGGGCAGGGGAAAGAGGGACAATGGTATTTGTCTCTTTTTAACCATGTGGATGTATCACATGTGATAAACGTTTAACACACTTACTAAAATATTATTTTAAAAAGAAGTTCTATGGGGCCAGCCCCATGGCCAAGTGGTTTAAGTTCACGTGCTCTGCTTCAGAGGCCCAGGGTCTCGTGGGTTCGGCTCCTGGGCGCAGACCGAGCACCGCTCATCAGGCCATGCTGAGGTGGCGTCCCACATGGCAGAACCAGAAGGACCCACAACTAGAACATACAACTATGTACTTGGGGCTTTGAGGAGAAGAAGAGAGAAGAAAAAAAGAAGACTGGCAACAGATGTTAGCTCAGGTGCCAATCTTAAAAAAAAAAATAGAAGTTCTAAAAAGTCAGGCAAACTGAATAAATTACTGTGACATGGTTAGAAATCCTGCCATCCTGGATTGCTTTAGATATGATCTGCTGTTGGTGTACTTGTGAAGTGTCATGCCCAGAACTAAACTGAGATTCTCGTGATGGTCTGAAGAGCCCTATGTGGCTGTATTGACCACTTCTGGTTTCTGGACATTATCTTTGCTATATTTTGCTAATTTTACATTAACTGTCTAGTTTTTTTAAGGACAAGAGAAGTTAATTTTAAAAGTTTCTTGAATATAACTTATGTTTATTTAATAAATAATTGTATAGCACTTTGTAGTGTTTAACCATGTACCAGATGCTATTTTACAAATATTAATTTCTGTTATATACAACTATTAAAATTTTTTATATAAGTTGTAGAAATTTGTTAATTTAGTGTTAGATTTCTGTTAGCATAAGCGTCTTTCCGGATGTTGCTATGTAATCATACTGGGTTTGAGTAGTATTCGTTAAATTCATCAAATATTAAGTCCATCAATTATATTCATAAGTATGATTAAAGTAGAAATTAAAATTAAATTAAAAATTTTTAATTACGGCTTTTGTTTTTTATTTCAGCTTTACCAACAGGGACGCCTATGTCAACTGGGCAGTGAATTTTGTGAATTGGAAGTTTTTGCTAAAGTATTGAGAGCTTTGGATAAAAGGTAAATTCATTTTTAAAAAATTGTGGTAAACTGTACATAACCTAAATTTTACTGTTGTAACCATTATTAAGTGTCCAATTTAGTGGCCTTAAATACATTCATATTGTTGTGAAACCATCAGTACCACGACTGATTTTTGTGTTCATGAAAGGGGGACCAAATTCATCTTTACCATTGTGGCTTTTATGTAGTAGGAACCACATGTAGGTGTAGGTGATATGGCCTTTGATTGTACTTGCTGCTCTCCTTAGCGTTCTTCCCTAAATTTGCTTTAAATACCATTTCTTTTTCCCAACTGTACCTGTCTAGGAAAATAGTTTTACCAAATACTGCTAATCTCTAATATGAATATTGCCAAGTTGATTCATTTGTACAAGAAATTAACTAAGTACATACTTGTTGAACGCCTAGTATATGTCAGGTACAGTTCTAGATGCTGGGGGTATGAGTAAGATCTACAGCATCTCTTCCTCATGGAGTTTGTATTTTAGAAAAGGATGATAAAATGATAGACAAATAATTAACATGATTTCACTGTTCAGGGATAACTTCGAAATGGGCCTGTGTGCTAAGCCTATAGAGAAACTTCTTAGTTGATTAATTAAAATTAATTTGTAAAAAAAAAAAATAATAGTTGAGAGGGCTATAGAAAAACTTCAGAAAATTTTCTTTAAGAAAAGTTTAGGGGCTTGCCCCGTGGCCGAGTGGTTGAGTTTGCACGCTCTGCTTCGGCGGCCCAAGGTTTCTCTGGTTCAGATCCTGGGTGCAGACATGGCACCACTCATCAAGCCATGCTGAGGTGGCATCCCACATGCCACAACTAGAAGGACCCACAACTAAAACTACACAGCTGTGTACTGGGAGGCTTTGGGGAGAAAAAGGAAAATAAAATCTTTAAAAAAGAAAAAAGGAAAGTTTAGCTTTCTGGGATTTGAATTTCTTTATGCAGTTCTAAACATGGCCATTGTAAAGATTTAGTGGAATACTTTTCTTTAATCTCTTAGGTTATCTTTCACTTAGTCCAAATCCATTGGTAATTGTTTAATATATTTGTGGAACTAAAAGCATGTAGTTTGACTTTTTCCCCCTTTATCCAAAGCAGTGACTTTATTATTTACAATTTTGTTTTTAATAAACTTTTCAGATATAATTCACCTACTGTAAAATTCACCGTTTTGAATTGTACAATTCGTTGACTTTTAGTATATTCACAAGGTTTTGCAACCATCACTATCTTAATTCTAGAACATTTTCATCACCCTAAAAAGAAACCCTGTACCCATTAACAGTCACTCTCTATTTCCTTTACCCCCAGTCCCAGGCCTACCATTAATTTACTTTCTGTGTCTGGATTTACCTATTCTAGACATTTCATATAAATAGATTCATACAATATATGGTCTTTTGTGACTGGCTTCTTTCACTTATCAGAATGTTTTAAGGTTCATTCATGTTATTGATTGTATCAGTACTTCTTTCCTTCTTACGGCTGAGTAATTTCCCATTGTATGGATATGTTTTGTTTATCTAGTTATCTGTTCCATGAACATTTGGGTTGTTCCTCCTTTGGGCTATTAGGAGTAATGCTGCTATGAACGATCATGGACAAGATTTTGTGTAGATATGTTTTTAGTTCTCATATATATAACTAGGATACGTATGATAACCCTACGTTGAACTTTTTGAGTAATCTCTAAACTGTTTTCCACAGTGACTGCACTGTTTTACATTCCTACCACCAATGTATGAGGGTTCCAGTTTTTCCATAACCTTGCTGTCACTTTTTTTAAAAAATTGCTATTATAGCCATCCTAGCAGGTGGTGTCTCATTGTGATACTGATTTTATTTCCCTGATGACTTATGATGTTGATTATATTTTCTTGTGCTTATTAGCTATTTTATATTTTCTTTGGAGAAATCTTTATTCAAATCTATCACCCATTTTTTAATTGAATTATTGAATTATAAGACAATTTGTTGTTTGGATCTTTTAAGTAAGATTGGCACCTGAGCTAACATCTGTTGACAATCTTTTTTTTCCTTCTTCTTCTCCTTAAAGACCCCCAGTACATACTTGTGTATTCTAGTTGTGGGTCCTTCTAGTTGTGCTATGTGGGACGCCACCTCAGCATGGCCTGATGAGCAGTGCCGTTTCCGCGCCCAGGATCTGAACCGGTGAAACCCTGGGCCACCAAAGTGGAGCGCATGAACTTAACCACTTGGCCACCGGGCCGGCCCCCAATTAGGTTTTTAATACTGATGTTAAAAGTTAGTTTTATGAGGCCAACCCCCTGGCCTAGTGGTTAAGTTCACGCGCTTCACTTGGGCGGCCCAGGGTTTCACCGGCTGGAATCCTGGGGGCGGACATGGCACTGCTCATCAAGCCATGCAGAGGCGGCGTCCCACATGCCACAACTAGAAGGACCCACAACTAAAAATACAAAACCATGTCCTGGAGGGCTTTAGGAGAAAAAGGAAAAAAAAATATTTAAAAAAAGAAAGGTTTTATCCTTCATTGCCATCAGTTTACACATACAGGATCACTCAGTGATCCACAGAGTAAAGATATTAGGCTAAATTGTGAATTATTATGGGCTTGTAATTCATAAGACAATAAGCTTTTTATCTTATTCCATCATGGAAAATAACGGCACTGTTATTAAAAAAAAAAAAAGCAAAAGAAGCTACACTTTCTTAAAGGCCAAAATACTTTACCTCTATAAAATGACCTTTTCCTTCTCTTTCAGACATTTGCTTCATCATTGTTTCCAGGCTTTGATGGATCATGGTGTAAAAGTTGCTTCAGTTTTGGCCTACTCCTTTAGTAGACGGTGCTCTTATATAGCAGAATCAGATGCTGCAGTAAAGGAAAAAGCCATTCAGGTTGGCTTTGTTTTAGGTAAGTGATGATAAAATAGAGGACTGTTTTGTCCTGTGACATGACCCAGAATTGAACATGCTAACAATAAAGGATTCTCCCAGGACGTTCACAAAGTCTACATAAGGAAGTTATGGGAAAAACATCAGAAAAACTAGGTGTGACTTATTGAACATTAACTTTGCACCAGGCGCTATACTAGCCATTTAAATACTTATCTTTCTAAGTTCTCATGGCATTCCAGTGATGTGATGGTATTAATAGCATTTTACAAATGAGGAAACAAACTCAGAAAAGTTAAGTAACTTGCTCAAGTCGCTTAACTAGAAGTAGGGCTAAGTTTAGAATCCTCCATCTGTGTGATTCCAAACCACCTGTCTGTCTACCATGTCGTGCTGCCTCCACTCTTTTTAACCTGCTTACTATATGCTCTGACATGAGACGTAATCTGTTTGGGGCCTCAATTTTTCCATCTTTAAAATGAGAGTAATTCTCTATTTCCTCATTGGGATGTTGTGAGAATGCTGAAAACATAAATGGAAAAGGATTCTGAGAAGGTTTTGTATGCTATACATACAGAGAAATACTGTTTACTATTTGATAACATTTTATATGGTTTTCATAAACCTACCTAGATAAATATGTTTCAGGGAATTATTTATTAAAGTTGTTACTTTTTAAAAAATTTTTTTATTTTGAAATGGTTGTAGATTCACAGATAATGTCAAAACCAGGAAATTAACACTGGTTTAATCCTGTTAACTAGACAACAGATGTTATTTAATTTTAACTGGTTTTTACATATACTCATTTGTGTGCGTGTGTGTGTGTGTTTCTCTGCAGTTGATTCCATGTAAAGATTCACATAACCATCATTACCATAAGGATACCAGACTGTTCCATCACCACAGGCTACCTTTCATTTTTAACTTCTTGCATTAATGTGTGCACGTGCTTGTTTTCTCTCCTCTTACGTGTGTGCTCATAGACTTTGTCAAAAAATTTTCATGATTATTTCCTTCAGTCTTAGAATAATTCTTTGTTGTGGTCATAGACAGTTTTCAGAACATTCTTTCCTGAGAAGAACCCTCAGCATTTACCTTTTGATAGTCCCATGGAATATAAATTGCAGCAGACTTGTGACCGAAGAATATCTAACAGTAGTGTTTGTAATCTTGATGAATGTTAAAGTTGACATCCCTTTAGTCCTAGATGTTCATGTAGAAATCTGTGGGAGAAATTTGCTATCAAGGAAGGTGAAAGGCAGGAAGGCTAGTGTTTATGGAGGTCCTCTGTCATCTCCACAAACACTTAGACCAATGTGGCGATTATAATGAGCCAGATTGAAGAAATATTTTGGAGATAGAACCAAGTCCTGACAAACTCATGGTTATATTATCAGTCTTGATCCTAAAATTACCAAAACAGTGAAAAAAGTTCATACCATAAGTATACAGTGATGGCAAACTCATGGTTATATTATCAGTCTTGATCCTAAAATTACCAAAACAGTGAAAAAAGTTCATACCATAAGTATACAGTGATGGAGATAACTTTTCAAATAATAGCTTTATTGAGGTATAATTCAAATACCGTATCATTCACCCATTTAAAGTATACAGTTAAAAGGTTTTTAGTATGCTCAGAGTTGTGAAAACATCACCACAGTAAGTTTTAGAATATTGTCATCACCCTCGGAAGAAACGGAAACCTATTAGCAGTCACTCTGCATTTCCTTCCAACTCCTCCAGCGCTAGGCAGCCATCAGGCAGCTTTCTGTCTCTACAGATTTATCTATCCTGGACATTTCATAGAAATGGACTCAGGAGATATATGATTTTTGTGACTGACTTCTTAACGTTTAGCATAATGTTTTCAAGATCCATCTCTGTTATAGAGATGGAATTTAATATAAAGATTTTTGAACAGCTATCATAGAACTGAAAAGACAAAAAAGGAACACTAGGGTATTATGGACCCTGAAACTGCAGGCATCAACTGCTACACCTAGGCCTTGGGGAACCTGGGGGTGAGGTTGGAATTATTAAAATTTAGAAGCTTGAGGAGATGGAAAAGTTACGTTTACCCTGCAAAATGGAAATATTAAAATCATTAGAATATAGTGGCTAATTTACTGGAAAATGTCAACTCTTAGGCCACAGCGTATTCTTGGAGGGTTAAAGCTCCTGACTCCTTATTTAAGGTCTCAACTTTGATCTAATTCCCCTCGTGTGAAAGGGTTTTTTTGGTTTGTTTGTTTTTGTTTTTTGCAAACGGACTGTTTTGTGCCAAACACAGGATTTTAATGTTATGCATTTTTTCATTTTAGATAATACTCATTATAAGCATGTCATTTTAGCTTTTAAGTGATTTATTTAGTTATCTAAAGTTACTGGTTTTTCTTGTCCTTTAGGTGGCTTTCTTTCAGATGCAGGCTGGTACAGTGATGCTGAGAAAGTTTTTCTGTCCTGCCTTCAGTTGTGTACTCTACATGATGAGATGCTTCATTGGTTTCGTGCAGTAGAATGTTGTGTGAGGTAAGTTGGAATAGATCCTACAAATAAGGGTTTTTAGTGGCTTTTATACTTTCACCTTTGTAAACGTACTCCAACATTTGAATAATCCTTTGAGGTGATATTTATATGTCACACTTTCACTCCTCTGGCCTCCTGTCTGTCATCCTTAGAATATGGTTAACTTGCTATAGACATCTTAGCTTAGATTTGACTGTTATGAATCAGACTGTAAAAGCTTTTTCATAGAGCTTATTTGTTCATTCGTTTAGCAAATATTTATTGAATGCCTAGTATGTACCAGGAACTACCGTCGGCACTGGATGCTAGGAAAAGGAATACACTTTTTTGGGGGGTGTTTTTTTTTTTTTTTACCCTTACTCCATTTACATTTCTAGAATTGTGCATAGCAAGATTAGTATTTTATGTATAAATTACTGTTTTCTTTAAAAATACATTTTTTAAGCAGGTGCACTTTAAAGGAAAGGCAAACAAATCTAGAAGTAACTCTTTGCCTTTACTGTCCTTATTTTTTCTGCACGTCACATTTAATTTTAGCTATTTTCATATAGGTTGGTTCTCTCCTGCAATTTGATTTGACATTTCTTAAAGAGGATTTTCTTTATAAAACTAAAGGGAAATCAAAATAAAGTTAAGAAAATAAATTCTTCATCCTGAGTTAACTAAAGTCTGGTCAATTTACTGAATTTATAGTCTTTTATTTTTATTGAATAAAGGATCATATTTCTTTGGTATCTTAGAGATGAGTTAATTAAATCTGAACCCTTTCAGAGCTAGTATATAGATTCTTCTGTATGAAACCATTATTGGTTTAAGCTAAAATTGACTAAAGCTCTCTCAAAGAGTTCAGTCTTTTGAAGTTGTCATTACTCTGTTTTATACAGGGCTTACCTGTGTTAGACAAACACACACACGTTCAAGTCCTGAAGTTAATTTTGTAATGTGCAAACTTAATTATAAATAATATTTTAGAAGCTTGTGATAATTTCCCACAGATATTTTAGAAGGATACAGTAAATTATAAGAATACTTGAGTGCAGAAACTATAAAGGATTGGTATTTGGACCTATAATTTGTAGTACTGATAAAAATAATGTCTGTGTCATCTTTCCTCCCCTCTTCTGCCTGTTCTATCTTTGTAGGAGTAGGAGACTAGACTATCTCATATGGGATTGGAGGGCTAGTTAAATGTTTCTGCATATATGAACTAGTTAATTTGGAACAGAAAAACCATTTTGTGTGACTTCATTGTAGATTCCTCTTTGTAGCACTCTTGACCAAAAGGTAAAACATTTTCTTCTTGTATTTGCTTGCTTTTTATGCACAAAATCAGAGGATTTATTTTACCCAGATAGCTAACATTTCTTCTGTCTGTCTAATTTCAAGCTCCTATATAAATCTTGCTTTAGTGTAGCCAAAAGATTTAGTTTTCTCGCAGGACCAAGGCTCCCTCTCTCCTTCCTATTTTGTCATCTTTAGCATGTAGCTCACATCATTATGTTTGCAAGTGTTATAGGGAGAAGAAGGTCAAAAGCCTCATGCCAACTGAGTATGCTTTTTCTTTTTCTCTTTTTTCAGTCAAAAAGATAGTTTCCCAGAAGCCCAGCCCTATCTTTTTGAAACTGGGAAACTGGGATACATTCTGTACATTCTCCAATTCATGTAAGGTGTTCTGGGAAGCAAAGCATTTTCAATTGTGCATATTGCTGCCCTGAATAAACTAATGGGTCTATATCAAGGAAGGGAGGGGAGGGGAATACTGCATAGGTAACTGTCAATACAGTGACTGTCCTGGCTGTCTTCAGAACAGGCGCATATGAAATTAGAAAAATACTTGGACCAAGAAACAAAACTATTTATAATACTAGTAGACTGCCTGTATGCCTAGACATTTTGTTCTCATCAATTTGAAATTTCAAAATAAAATTTGTTTCTACACAAGTATACTTGCCAAATTCTTGGTCGTTATAGGTGTATTTAATATAACATATAATATATAGTTTTGTCATCTCCTTAGTATTATTTGGAAAAAAGGCTAAATTTTTGTTACTTAGCTTTTTTTAGGGCAGAAAAATTGGGAGATTAATTAACCATTTTTTTCATTGAATTGGAGGAAAAATACTAATGAAATCCTTTGGCCAATCTCAGGTACCTTGAGCCTGATGTAAGAGTAAGAGTATGTTTTTTAATTTAATTTCACAAAACCGGTTTCTAATCTGGGGTTGGCATGGAAGCAGTAAAGAGCATCTTCTTTTTTTTTTTAAGATTTTATTTTTCCTTTTTCTCCCCAGAGCCCCTGATACATAGCTGCATATTTTTAGTTGTGGGTCCTTCTAGTTGTGGCATGTGGGATGCCGCCTCAGCATGGCTTGATAAGCAGTGCCATGTCCACGCCCAGGATCCGAACTGGCAAAACCCTGGGCTCCTGAAGCAGAGTACTCGAACTCAACCACTCAGCCACGGGGCTGGCCCTTAAATAAAAGTTTAATAATAACAAATCCCAAGGATAGTATACAAAAAGTGGTAAGCAGTGAATATTGTAATATTTGATTATATGTAAATGGAATAGTAAGAGAATGAAGGCCAAACAGGGAATTTGTAGTATTTCTTAGTAAGGATTTTTTCCAAACTGGAAATGAAACAAATTTTAGGAATAACATAAAACAGAAATTCTCAGTTACCACATACTATTAAATGTAAGTAAGGTTTTTTTCCTTTTTCCCTGAAAATTATCCTTCAGTAAAGAGAGTTATGTTACAAAGTCCCTCATGCTGTTTGATGTTCTTTCAAGTCTGTTACTTTGAACAACAAATTACTATTTGAGAAAGAAATGTTAGCCTGAAAACTCAGCCAGTGCCAGTGTCAGTAAGCTCTTGGAGACCACTGGCAGAGTTTTCTTTTTAAGGAAGTGATGGAATTTAACACATTTACATTTATTCTGGAGGTCATTAAATAACCTTATAGTTGTGTTAGATGTCTTTATTAACTGGCTTTTTGAATATTACTTTGAAATGTGATATAGTAAGTGGTTTGGTTGTGGAGATTTTGAATGTCTACTTGCTGTAGGTGGAATCAAAAAGCCCAGCAGTCCTATTGTTTTACAAATGGTTGCTGGTACCTTTGGATAAGTTTCTGGTGACATCATACTGCACTCAAAAGTGCTGATTTTAAAACAAGTGAAAATGTTTTACTCTGAAAAGCAAATGACTCAAAAAGTAGTTATGATGATGATGAAGATAAATATTTAAAGATGCATGTGAATAGTTGGAATAAAATTGTTTCATAAATTTCAAGAAGGAAAAGCAATTTTTGAAAATTTAATTTAGAATTTAAATATTTATGAGTAACATAAAGATTTAAATATTATAAGTTAAAAATGTTATCATATATATCCCTAAACTTGATATATTCAAGTTGGCCGAAAAACTTTTTGGATGGAAAATGGAAGCTTATGTTATTATATTTGGGTTAGTTTACATTGGGTGCCTATATGATAGCCTATTTTAAAAATACACATATTAGGGGCCTGGCCCTGTGACCAAGTTCCCGCGCTCCTCTTTGGCAGCACAGGGTTTCGCCAGATTGGATCCCGGGTGCAGACCTAGCACCTCTCATCAAGCCATGCCGAGGTGGCATCCCACGTAGCAGAAATAGGAGGACCTACAACTAGAATATACAACTATGTACGGGGGGGGCTTTAGGGAGAAGAAGAAGAGGAAAAAAGCAAGATTGGCAACAGGTGTTAGCTCAGGATCAATCTTTAAAAAATGCACATTTGGGAAAATGTACTAGTACAACAAAGTGTTTATAAAGTTCTCATCTTTGTAAATGAAGTAGGAATGACTATCATTACTTAATGTTCAAACATTATCAGTGCTAGGAATGGATATATAATGATGTGTAATGGCAAAATATGATAGACATTCCAAAACAGGGTAGTGGGAGTAGGTGTAAGAATGATTGGAAACCCATCCAAGCTAGATATAAGTAAAGAAAATAGAGGAAATAACTAAGTGTGATAAATGAAAAATAGGTAACTAATGATAAATGAAAAATAATATGAAAAGATTAAAACTAAGTACAGCTATCATCACAATACATGTAAATAGGCTCAATTCCTCTATCTGAAGATAGCAGCTGCCGAGAGGATTAAAAAATGTGGTGTAGTGGTTAGGTTCATATGCTCCACTTTGACAGCCTGGGGTTCATGGGTTTGGATCCTGGGCATGGACCTGCACACGTCTCATTAAGCCATGCTGTGGCAGTGTCCCGCATACAAAATAGAGGAAGATTGACATAGATCTTAGCTCAGGGACAATCTTCCCCACCAAAGGGTGAAAAAATGAAATCCAACGTATATTGTTAAAAGAAAACACCCCCAAACATTAATATTAACAATAAAGCAGAATTCAGTATAAAAACCATTCGTTGATACAAAAGGGATATTAATAATAAAATGTACAATCCACAAAAAGGTCATGAACCCATGTATAGCAAATAAGATAGCAGCTATCTACATAAGCAGTGTACCCTAAAATATAAAGAATCTAATAAAAAGAATACAATATTGAGTGCCCCCATGGTAGGTTAATTCAGAATTCATGGATTTAACAAGGAATTAGGTTTTTGTTTTTTGTTTTGTCTTTTGAGGAAGATTAGCCCTGAGCTAACATCTGCTGCCAATCCTCCTCTTTTTGCTGAGGAAGACTGGCCCTGAGCTAACATCCTCCATGCCCATCTCTTCTACTTTATATGTAGACTGCCTACCACAGCATGGCTTGCCAAGCGATGCTGTGTCTGCACCCGGGATCCGAACCAGTGAATTCCAGGCCGCTAAAGTGGAATGTGCCTACTTAACCGCTGTGCCACTGGGCCGGCCCTGGTTTGTTTTTTAAATTTTATTTTTCCTTTTTCTCCCAAAGGCCCCTGGTACATAGTTGTGTATTTTTAGTTGTGAGTCCTTCTAGTTGTGGCATGTGGGATGCCGCCTCAGCATGGCTTGA